GCTCCCTCTCAAAGGGTCCTTTTAGATATCTGCCAGCCCCATCCAGATGTTTTATTCCTCTCAAAGCATATTAATAGGCGCTAAACAAACATGTTCAGTTAACTAAATCAAGCTTAAAATATCTCACTTTTAAAGAACCACTTGCCCAGATGCATCGGACCAAATTCGGAGCAAACTGACAGAAAGCAATACAACTTTTTTCCTAATGAACACATTTAAAATAAATTAAATGCTGAACTGAAAATTCATCTGAAATGCTTTCATTTATTTGAAAGCTAGAAGCATTCTAAATTCAAGACATAAGTCGTTAAATAACTACTTAAGTAAACTGCCCCGAATCTAATGTTCCTATGGTAGCTATGATTGATGGCTAACGTGAAAGTCCATCATACAGTCCCAAAACAACTTGGACATGACATACAGACATGTTGAGCAATCTAACCTCATTAGATTAGTAACAAGTGCAGATGCTCGTCACCTCTGAATGTCAAAGTCCTCATCAGTACTTTCCCTAAGGGATCTGTTTGCTTAATGTGGATGGAGAAGGCAGTTAAATTAAAGGTTACACACATTTGAAGAATGCATTCTTTAAAAAACATCCACAGTTTTACGCTCACCTTTGGTGACCTGCCAAAAAAGGGCACTTCATTTTTAGAATGCATAACATTTCACAAAACTAAACAAATTTTCTTCACATCAACCAGAACAATCTCACACACTGCTTAAAGAATTCTCTAGCTTTGCTTAAAGTTTTCCTAGATCCATCTCCAAGAAGTGATGCTAACTTTATATAAAATTCTCACCTATTTTTATTTAAAGAGATATAAAGCTACAGAAGGAGATTTTTTTTCCCCTCCAGATTTTAAAATTAAAAGACGGCTATAACTTTGCTTGCAATGGCTAATATGAACAAGAACTTTTACTCAACATTATTCCCCAAAATCTTGGGATAATCATCATATGCAAAGGTATGAATAACAGAGAAAATAAAAGCAATCCATTGATTTATTTTGTTTTTAATAAACATTCTCAGTGGGAAAGTTAGTTGTTGCAGTTGTTATATTATATATAAAGGTATATTTTGCAGGAAATATGTAAGATTTCTCTTAAAACACACTGAGCACATAATCTCAGCATACAGCTGGTATTTGAAATTGATATTTGAATTTGCTTGGAGCACAAGGTGTTTTTTTGTTTTTTGTTTTTGTTTTTTGTTTTAAAAGCAAGATCTCTCTTCACCTAATGTCTACCAAAATCCATTCATCTGGTTTCTCTGAAAAAAATGTGATCCTTTACTGGCACAAAGAATGCTTCAAAAGCATCAGATGAATACACAACTAACATAAGATGGTGAACCGTTCAGTCACAAAAGCTGTCCCCAAATGCTAGAATGTTTTGTCAAGGGTCATGGTCATGACTTCGCAATGATAGAACCGATCCAGTGAATGACTTTGCTTCTGTTCTTCTCTGTTAAGAATTGTCCAGTTCATCAGGCCAGTCATCGGTAGCGAGTACGATCTCTCACCGTATTTGCATAATCCATACGTCATAGAAACAGTCATAACAGGGATGTTCTGAAGTATGGCGTATTACATTCTTGTCACCTTTCACTTATCTTGAACAAAATCTCTTTTTAAGCTACTGCACGCCTCCCCCTCAAAATCTCAAGCAGCACCTCTAAAGCAGATTTTAACTTTGGAGCACAACACAAAGATAAGTAAAAGGCAGTTTGATTAAGATGAGATAACTGCATATGCTACAGCAAAATAAGCAGAGCTTTAATGTACGTGTAGTATGACACAGATAGGAGATGTGAACCAGAGCTGACTTTCTTGCAGATTTTAAATTCATTAAGAAGTGGAACTAGAGAAGTGTTTCAGGAGTTGCACTAAAATTCTCTGTATGCAGTGAAATCTTCAGAAGGGTTGAAAACAGTATTGTCATTGTTTCATAATGTCTGAAAAACACATACAGCACTGTAACAGCTAACTCTGTCCTACTAAAAATGTTCAACCTTTTGCAAGTATTGCTAAACACGCAAGTATTTTTGAATTCAATAAAAAATACCATCACTGAAGGAAAGTGTAACTTATTTCTTATAATTACAGCTCAACTTAACGTTTTGGTATTATTGGCTTTTTCACATAGTACGAGCTTCAAATAACTCTTTTGAACAATAGGAGTTATTAAGAAACAAATATATGAAAACAGTGATTTAACTGCAAGTTGTTCAATAATTTTTAAAACAACCCCCCAAAAGTTTCTATTAAACTAAAAATCACAAATAAGCACAAAGACTGCTATGAAAATCAGTGTGAACTAGGAATCCTCTTTTATTCCTTACCAAAGGTAAGGAGAGAAGGAATAAGTCTTTTCATGAAGATAGCTACTTTGTAATCAGATGTAAAAGTATTAATACTTTTTAAAATCTTATTACAGGCTACCACAAAATGTGTCAGAAACCGCACACCTTGAGACACACATATCGTGTGTGCACTTGAGAGACACACACATTGTATGTCTGATTTCTCATATTTGATATCAAATAAGAGCTTAAAATGCTTTTTCTCCAGGTTTGCAAGTGCACACAGTAAAAGTCTCCAGTTCCTGGAGTTCAAACAAGTATTCTGCTGTTTGAACCACCTATCATGTGCCAATAAATAAATAAGTAAATAAAATTAGTAGATGAAGTCACTTGTTATGGCTAAGAGTGTGCTCTTCTTAGAGAATGCTGAATCTCAAACAGTAAGCAAGATCCAGAATGCTGGCATCTTTTCAACCACACCTTTTCCATGGAAGTCTTATGTCAAAAGCAGTAAGGAAATATATTTCCGTGATACAATATAAACTTGTCTGGGAATGTGACAACTTCCCAGAAAACTTGAACTGGGAATGTGAAAGCTTTTACGATTTCTGTTCTCCACATGCAGGGCTCTAGCAAAATATAGCTCCAATTTAGTCACAACACAGTAGAACACCTGCTTGCCAATCAGAGTGCCTACACTATATTTTACCTTCCCCCTTTTTAATCTGTAAATTGAGTTTAAAGAGACATACTGAGTTTTATATAATGACTGGCAGCTAGTAGTAACAACAGTCCATCTTTCTGCACTAACACAGCAAAATTAAGTAATTTCAAATAGTATGAGATTCAACTTCAAAATGACTGAATCCAGAAGGAGAAAATTTCATTCACTATTTGGAAGAAAAACCCTACAGAAAGGTCAGTTTTTGAAATAGGAAATAAGGAGCCAAAAAAAGAGAAAGCATCAATTTAGAATCATCCATTTAATCCTAGTTCAAAGCTGATGTCTTAGGAGGAATCGTGGGTCTTTTCTGTCTTGTTAGGTATAAGATAAAGGAAGCAGCACTCAGTATCCAGTTATTTTAAACACTGGTGAGATGATCATAACTTATCCAAACAAGGAACTATGCACAACTGACTGATGTGTTGCATATTGAGTGCGTGCAACATGATGATTCATACTCTAACTCAATTTGTAAAGGATGGCAAAGTATTAAGACACTTCCAGTGTATTTGAAGAAACTGCCAGGGATATATTGCTCACAGCACACCTGGAATACACACCCCGATATTACTTGTTCTCCTATGAGTAATTTTTTCCATAAGCCTCATCCTGGAATTGTGTGTTTGGAAACATATCACATGTATACTCGTCATTGTTTACACAAATGTTACAGTTCAGCTTTTGCAGAGATAAGCTACAAAATACGATGTAAGCACAGTCTGCAAAAAATTAATCTCAATATTATCAACAATTCTCAACAACTCATTGAAATTGAGTAACTTGGATATGTAAGAAATATTTTGCTTTGCTCATGTTCACTAGATGCTATATCAGCTATTGCTAATGGTCTGACCCGTTAAATGAACTTTATCAACTCAAGGTTCAAGGCTTTAAACAACTGAACATAACAGACAGAACCACTGAATTTACATTAAGCTAGCTAGTTGTAGTTATCATCATTACTTGTTTCTATCAAATATATTGTATTGGATACTTATATTGAACTCAAGCTGATTAGAAGTATGACAATCAACAGTCTTCTGTCCTCTGTTATATACATCCTCTAATTCCTTCAGACTTCTCTGTAGAGATCCCAATGCTTGTATGTCTGTGCACATACTCTGTGCTTTGAGTGCAAGCACCTTCTACAGAGCCATGGAATTTTCTTTTAAAATATAGGTGGCATCTCTAAATTTTTGCACATTGCAGGTACAGAAAAAGTTAACCCATTTATCAACCAGCCTTGCAGAATCTTGCCATAAGGACTCGGGAAGCTTTCTGCCAAGGCAGAGAACCTCCCCCACCAAAACCTATGAGAGAATTCAAAGGCTGAACCACACTTAACACTGAGACAGTAAAACAAGCCTGTTATCAGTCCTAGTCCTCAGATTAGGAGCAGTAAACTATGACCACTTTTCTATCTCAGAAGTAACCCACGCTCATCAAGAATTTGGAAAAAAATTATTTTAATACTGGACCCAACAGCCTTTCGATAATTATATGCATTATAAGAAAATAAATTAAATTCATAAGGTAAACGTACACCTCATGTGAGCATGAATTACAAACATGCTTGCGTTCTCATCTATAAGGCAGAACTTTTCCTAAGAACATGAGTTACCACACCTTGCTGCACTAATAGTCTTGCACTAGTTAGGAAATAACCACTATTTGATGGGTAGCTGTTAGAACATTTCTAAACTTTCAAGCTGCTAATCTGAAGCGTTTTTTGAAATAAGTATTGATGCTGTAAAGCTAAGTTAAAATTAATATCTCATTTAAAAGGTATTTGCTAAGCTTCAGAGAAAAGCTGGTTTCTATTAAACATGAAAACAAGTTGGCTTCATTTGTTGATAGTGTATAGCAAGCATGAAGCTTTAAAAAGAATCTAGTTAAGACTTTCAAGGTATGCTCCTTTTTAAGATCTATTTGAAACAGACCAAAATGGCATGATAATGAGTGCCATCTTACCTGGAACTTTGTCAACAGAGGCAAAAACAGACCGCTGCACTGTAGGATCACTGCTACCACGGCGTGACTGATCATAAAATCTAAATGGAAGGTGTTGGGATGTAGCTGCAGAGCTATGTCCAAAACCCATCACTTCAGTTGAAGGCTGAACAGGAAGATCCAGGAGAGCTACGTTTAATCACAATTGATAATTTTTGTTACTCAAAAATATGCAAGAGGAAGAGTAAGTGAAAATAAAGTTTATGGTTTTCCCAGAATCTTAACACTATACCAGACTGTTTAAAAATGCATGTTTGCATTTACCTCTTAATTACAGTTGCAATTACATTGGAAAAGAAGGGGGACATTTCTAGCAATCTTTCCTACCACATACACACTGAGAAGTGCCAGGATACGGTGCAGAAGAAAATGGGGTTACAGTAAACTCTCTGCATTACACAAGTCATAGTAGGAGCTATTTAAAAAAAAAAAAAAATCTGTCCTTCCCTGTACAAGTCATTCATTAGTTATAACTGAACACTGCAGAAAACCATTTAAAGAGACCGCCTGCTTTTCACCAGCAGAGAGCTGTCTTCGCACTACTGTTCTATTTATTTTATATCAAAATAGACCTGTATTAACTTCAAATTTGCATTAAGTTTTTTTTTTTTTTTAAAGTGAAGCAAGCCATAAAAATATGACATAACTTCTGTAAGCTCAGAGCATAAGAGTGTTGTCAGCTTCCTACAGAACCATAATACACTAAAATAATTTGAAATCATCTACAATCTGAATAATTCTCTGGCCAACTCATTACAATTAATAGCAGCTATAACTTTCTCACAATTCTGATTGGTTAACTATTGCTCTCGGACAATCCAAGTAAGTGAAAAAGTTGTTCTTTTTCACTTGATCACCTACTTTCCTCTTTATATTTCCAAGCTGCCTTTGCAGTACTCACCCATTCATTCAGCTTGTTGCTAAGCTTCAACCTATTCTTCACTCATTTAATATTAAAATAATACTTCAACCACTGCTTTATTTACTCAAATTAACTCTTTCCTTCATCCCTTAATGTGCTTTGCCCCCAAACACTGAGAAATCTAGCTGCTGATACTCTACTCAGCTTTTCAGACTCCCATCACCACCATCTCCAAGCATTAATCATTATAACACAATGATATACGATTCCTTCTTTTTCATCCTTTGTGTGTCATTGATATATCAAAATCCGTATTTTACTCCAATAAAAGCTATTGCTTGGAAACTAGAATCTGGTTTAAGGTTTTCAGTGGGACATCACTTCTGAAATTTTTGTAACATGCTCTTGCATTACAGTGTGATTTGCTATGACAAATAACTTGTCTCAGAACCATTTGAAAATAACAACCAACCTGCTATTCTCTGCATTTTCATACGCCGAGCTTGGATACGACCTTTAGCAAGACGTTGTTTTGCAATAATACAACGAATGTGATCAGAAAAAATAAATGTAGCTTGAAGGATAGGGAAGGGCTTAGAATGAGGACTAGAAGCAGGTTTATGAATTATTATGTTCAGAGCCCTACTATCATCTTCTACTCCTGTTACCTGCATATCCTAAAAAGAAACAGAAGAAAGTAACTAATGAAAAAGTTAACATTTAAACCTATAGATCAAACACAAACATTTTTTAAAACCCTATGAATGTATCACTTAAAGCTCTTAAGAACACAATTTATGGGTCAAAAACAAAAGAACAACAACAAAACCCTCACAAGACAAATTGGTACTCCTAGACGCTCATTCTGTTAAAAATCAATTGGGTTATTTAAGCATAGTGAATTTTCAAGATATACAAACATTAATGCTGGTATAAGGTAAGAAAAAGATACAAATGAGTGAAACTTCCAAGCTTTTTAAAGTAGTTATATAAGCAGAGGCCAGTCTCCTTATACAAGGATCAGAACTCCAACCCTAATGTGCTGATTAAGGAAAACACTTGGGACTTGATCCTAATTCTGTAGGATTTCAGCGTTCAAATGAACATATCCCAATTAACAATTAGGGATGCTTTCTTGAAACAGAAAATACATTGGGAAAGTTACCTCATTTTAAAGCATTTGTCTAAATAACCACATAAACGTCTTCAGAAAAATTGAAGTCACGTAAAAGCACAAATTAGAAGACAGACTTAAGTAACAGAAGAAACAGATAAGCATGCTACAGAACTAAAAATATGTAAGATAATATTGGCATTATTGTTTATACTACTTAAATAGTTTGTCAGTCAAGAAAAATATACGTACCCAGGTTAAAACCTCCCCTACCTGCAAAAGGCCGGCAAACTTAACGACTCCCCAGCCAAGCCTGGCAACATCTGGCTCAACCAAACTCATCTGGTAAATATCCACAGCCAGGAACCTTTGAACTTGACCCCCATCCTTTGTTATCACTGTACAAGCAATTAGATCACTGTTATCTGGAGGAAGGAGAAAGAGTTAAAATGTTAACATACAGAAAAGTGCGATCATCTTTGCAATATAAGTTCAGAGTTATTCATGTTTCCTATTCTGCATTTCCTTATTACATTCAGAGCTGCATTGAAAGAGCAGGATATATTTTACCCGCAGTGGTTCAAATACCTTGCAAGTTATGATACACACTAAGTCTGCCTTGTTTTCTTTCACTGTTCTCTACTCCCAAGCGTAAAATGTCACTTCATTTCAGGGCAAACTAGCACCAATGTTTCTCTTAATAAATGGAAGTCTCCAAGTCTTGTTGAAAGATCACAGATACAGTCCTATATCACTGCAGGCAATTATATCTACCCTTTTCATAAATATCAGTTACATTTTTTGCTGCGACTAGAGAATTTATTCCGAAACCTGATGCTGATTTTTGGAAGCCTTCTAACTTCAAGACTCTTCAGACTCTCCAAATAAACCATATCAATTTTTTTTCCAATACTCGTTACATGAGCTGATATCTTGTCCTTTATCAATCCCTTTTATGGATTTATATTGGGTAGTCATATCCCTTCTTAACTGTTACACTAAGAAAGACCCTCAAACAAGCCCCAGACTGCAGATGTCAAGAAATAAGTACTCGGTTTCCTGATCCTTTCAGAATCTCCTCTTTCTGTTCCAGTTCAAACCCATCATTCTTGAGATGGGACTGGAATCACGTTCTTCAAACCAGATGAAGTCTATTGAGAGCCCCAATAAACTGGCACTGACACCTCCCAGCAGACCTCCGCTAATCTTACTACATTTGCTTTTTCTTTACTTCAAATTAATACCATCATCTGCTTAAATCATTCAGATCTTTTCTCTCACCTCAAACCACCACAACTTATAGCAAATAAAAGCTTCCTACATGCACACGCTTTGTTCTCCTGTGTTTATCCTTTCTGCAGTTCAACTGCTAGACAGTACTCTTCCCAGTTTGATGGATTTGACTAGTTAGGTTGCAGTATTTTAACTATTTCTTGCAACAGTCTTTTTTAGGATGGTGACCATCTGATTTGGGAGTAGTGATTTCTTTTTGTTTTTGTATTTTGTTTGTACCTTAGCCATAATTTTTCAACACACCTATTCCCATTAGCCATGCCATTCATTAGTACTGCCAAGGCAACGATGGACTCGGCAGTTTGAACTTATTTATTCAAACAGTCTTTCCTAAAATGGGGAGGTTTATGCTACAAACATCAATTGCTGCACAGGCAGCTGAGGCTTTCTTCTCCTTTTCTATGTACACTTACTATTTTTAAGCACACTATATTTTTAGATGCATGTTTCAAATACACTGATATTGGCTTGATAAACAATGTCATTTACAGTAAGATGTGTCCTTCTGCAAGATTACCTCATTATTCAGATTACTTATCGCTATTTAAAGGTAGCTACTCTGACACAATTCAGAATTCAATGTTTCTCTAGCGATGTTAAATGCTCTTGCATGTGAAACCTGACTGCAGCACTGTCCAGGTTATTCATACAGTGCATGAAAATAATCCCACTGAAGTTTAATTCCACCTTCTGTATCTGAATAAAGTAATAAAAAACCTTACTATTTGTCCCTTTAGTTTCTCATGGAAGAGAAAAGAAAAAAAAAATATATATATATATAAAATAAT